AGCTCCTGTTGTTTCTCGTGATTTCAACAATTTCAAAGCGACATGGATAGCAAAGGAAATCGAATTAGTTAATATTAAGAAGGTCACGACGTTCGCTACAATTATTTAAAAAAAATAAAATGAGATAAAAAATATCAAAAAGAGAAAGCAAGTTTACCAGATATTCGGAAAATTTTGCAAGGCGAGGCTTGCCTCGAGTGTGTTAAGATTTAAATGTTTTATTTCATATTTATTAATATTCATCGGAAGTTTTAGTTGTTGGTAGGTTTGACCGAATCTTTAGAGATTTGTTATTTAGTAGAGTTAGTGTCTTAGTTTGTGTTATTTTATAGGAGTCGTGGTTAGTGTGTTATGATGTAAAGTCTATTTATAAGTATCTTTTTTTTATCAATATGAAGAAAGTTAGCTTTTATTTTCAACACGTCTTTTAGTTTTTCTTCACTTTGTACTAGTGCTCTTTTTTGTTTTTTCCTCTACTCTGTATCAATGGTATTAGAGCAAGTTTCAGGGAAGAAAAATAAAGGTGAACTTGATGTCTTCCGATAATTTTGTACATCCAGTCATTTCACGCTTTGATGGTCACTATGATAATTGGAGCATGCTTATGGAGAGCTTCTTGAGGTACAAAGAATATTGGACGGTTGTTGTTTCTGGAGTAGCAGAACCAGAAGAAGGTGTTATACTGACAGATGCTCAGAAAACAGAGTTGGAAGGGAGAAAGCTAAAAAATTTGAAGGCAAAAAATTACCTTTTTCAGGCAATTAATCGTCCCATCTTGGAAACAATTCTTAGCAAAGAAACTTCCAAAGATATTTGGGATTCAATGAAGCAAAAATATCAAGGCTCTGTTAGAGTGAAGCGTGCTCAACTTCAAGCTTTGAGAAAAGATTTTGAGACTATACAAATTAAGGATGGGGAATTTGTTACCAGCTATTGTGTCAGGACTATGGAGATCAGCAACAAAATGCGATTTCATGGTGAGAAGATGGAAGATGTCACCATTGTGGAGAAAATATTGTGTTCCTTGACACCAACTTTTGATTATGTTGTGTGTTCAATTGAAGAATCGAAAGACATATATGCATTTTCTCTTGATGAATTGTAGAGCTCCTTTCTAGTATATGAACAGAAGATGAACCGAAGTTCAACTTCAGAGGAGCAAGCTTTGAAGGTTTTTACCTATACTCATTTCTCAAACTCTAGAGGAAGGGGTAAAGGTAGAGGAAGGGGAAGGGGAGCTCGTGATAATAGAGATGGCAACAGGTATTTTAAATCCAATGATGATCAATTTTCGAATAAAGGCAGAGGACGAGATCAACATTTTGACAAATCCAAGGTAAAGTGCTTTAGATGTCATAAATTTGGTCATTATCATTCTGAATGTTAAACTAAGTTGTCTAATGACAAAGAAAAGGAAGAGCAATCAAATTTTGCTGAAAAGAAGGAAGTAGAAACTTTGTTAATGGCTGTTCAAGCTAATCATGAATCTGAGTCTGATGTTTGGTATGTGGATACGGGTTGCAATAATCACATGTGTGGAAGTAAGACTTCTTTTTCTTATTTAAATGAAGGTTTTCATTCTACATTAAGTTTTGGTGATTGTTCCATTGTAAGGGTGATGAGAAAGGGTGATATTGAGATAAGAACCAAGAATGGTTTTGGAGAAATAATTTCTAATATCTTTTATGTTCCTGACTTAAAAAGTAATTTGTTAAGTGATGGTCAATTGTAAGAAAAGGGTTATGTAATCACTATTCAAAAGGGTGTTTGTGAGATTTATGATCCCACTAGAGGAGCTATTGTTGTTGTGCAAATGAGTTCAAATAGGTTGTTTCCATTTAAGATTGAAAGTGTGCAATCTTGTTTGGTAATTGAAGTAAATGATCCTTCTTGGTTGTGGTATTTTCATTATGGCCACTTGAGTTTTGATGGATTGAAGACCCTCTAACAAAAAAATATGGTGATAGGTCTTCCTCAGATTAGTATTCCTTCCCAAGTTTGTGAAGAATGTGTTGTTGGCAAACAACATCGTTCTCAATTTCCCAAAAGAAAGTCATGGCGAGAAAAAGGAGTTTTGGAGCTAATTCATTCTGATATTTGTGGCTCGATGACACCACTTTCTAATGGAGGTAAAAGATACTTAATTACCTTCATTGATGATTATACTCAAAATACTTGGGTTTATTTTTTACAGAAAAAATCAGAAGCTTTTTGTGTATTTAAAAGCTTCAAGGCTCGTGTGGAAAATGAAACAGAAAAGACCATTAAGACCCTTAGAACAGATCGTGGTGGAGAATATTTCTCAACAGAATTTAAAGTTTTTGTGAAGTTCATGGCATTCGAAGAGAGCTGACAATTGCTTATACACCACAACAAAATGGTGTATTAGAGAGGAAACACATAACCATCCTCAATATGGTGAGAAGCTTGTTGGCAAGAGGGAGAATTCCAAAATACTTTTGGCCTGAAGAGGTAAATTGGAGTATTCACATCTTAAACAGAAGTCCTACATTTGTTGTTCAAAATATGACCCGATGAGGCTTGGAGTGGAAGGAGACCAGCTGTAGATTATTTTAAAATTTTTTGCTGCATCGCTTATGCACATATCCCGGATGAGAAATGGAAGAAACTTGATGATAAGGGGGGAAATGTGTTTTTCTTGGTGTTAGTGAAACATCCAAAGCATATAAATTGTTTAATCCACTAACCCATAAAATTGTGACTAGCCGAGACGTTGTCTTTGATGAGGAAAACACTTGGGATTGGAATGGACAGAAACCAACTCAAGTTCTTTTGGACAATGGTTCTGAAAGTGAACCAACTCCAGCAACCTATATGCCTGAAAATTCATTAGAAGCAACTCCAATAGTTGCTGAAATTTTATCAACAGCAATGCAACAACTCGATCTCTTCCTTGTATTCGAAAAAGGCCCACATGGATGAAAGACTATGAGGTAACTGAAATTGAAGATCCAATCACTCATTTTTCTTTATTTTCATATTGTGATCCTACAACCTTTGAAAATGTTGTCAAAGAAGAAAAATGGAAGAAGGCGATGGATGATGAAATTGATGCCATTGAAAGAAATAATAATTGGGAGCTGAGTGATCTTCCGAAAGGGCACAAAACCATTGGTGTAAAGTGGGTCTTCAAAACGAAACTAAAGGAAAATGATGAAGTTGAAAAGTGTAAGGCGCGTTTGGTAGCTAAGGGATATAAGCAAGAATATGGGATCAATTATACAAAAGTTTTTTCTCCCGTTGCAAGACATGATATAATCAGATTAGGGATCGCATTGGCGGCGCAGAACTCATGGCCTATTTTCCAGCTAGATGTTAGATCGACATTCTTGCATGGAAACTTGGAGGAACAGGTATTTGTAGAACAACCTCTTGGTCATATTAAGATCGGAAATGATCATAAAGTGTATAGATTAAAGAAAGCTCTTTATGGCTTAAAACAAGCTCCACGAGCTTGGTATAGTCACATTGAGGCTTATTTTTTGAAAGAAGACTTTCACAAATGTCCATATGAGCACACACTTTTTTGTTAAAATTAGAGATAAGGGGAAATTATTCATTGTTTGCTTATATGTAGACGATCTTATATTTACTGGAAATGATGGTGCCATGTTTAAAGAATTCAAGAAATCTATGATGATTGAATTTGAAATGTATGACCTTGGTATGATGCATTACTTTATTGACATAGAAGTAGTGCAATCAGCTAATGGGATCTTTATTCCTCAAAAGAAGTATGTACAAGATATTTTGGATAGATTTCAAATGAAGGATTGCAATTTTGTAAGCACTCCAACTGAGTTTGGCTTGAAGCTAAACAAAGAGCATGAAGGGAAGAAGGTGGACATCACACTTTACAAGCAAATTGTTGGCAATTTGATGTATTTAACTGCAACAAGACCAGACATAATGTATTTTGTGAGCTTAATAAGTAGGTATATGGAGAATCCAATAGAAATGCATTTATTAGCTGCCAAGAGAATCCTTCGTTACTTGCAAGGAACTAGAGATTTTGGGTTGTTCTACAAGAAGGGTGAAAAGTTAAAACTGTTCGAGTTTACTGATAGTGATTATGCAGGAGATCAAGATGATAAAAGGAGCACTTCGGGCTATTTTTTTATGTTGGGCATAGGGGCTATTTCATGGTCTTCTAAGAATTAACAAATTGTCACCTTGTCAACTACAGAAGCTGAATTTATTGCTGCAACAGTTTGTGCTTGTCAAGCTGTCTGGTTGAGAAAAATTCTTGAAGAGCTACAGTTCAAGTAAGTGGAAGCTACTACAGTTTTTTGTGATAACAACTCAGCAATCAAACTCTCCAAAAATCCTGTGCTACATGGAAGAAGCAAGCATATCGATGTGAAATATTATTTTTTAAGAGATCTCAGCAATGATGAACAATCAAATTGGTTTATTGTCAAAGTGAAGAACAAGTTGCAGATATACAGACCAAGCCTCTTGGCTACATTTGTGAAGTTGAGTGGTCTTCTTGGAGTTTGTTCACGTGCTGCTCTAAAGGAAGACTTTGCAGAGTGTTAATTCTTTCTTTTAAATTGATATTTGTATATTGAGGGTGTTAAGATTTAAATGTTTTATTTCATATTTATTAATATTCATTGGAAGTTCTAGTTGTTGGTGGGTTTGACCGAATTTTTAGGGATTTATTATTTAGCAGAGTTGATGTCTTAATTTGTGCTATTTTATAGGAATCGTGGTTAGTGTTTTATGATATAAAACCTATTTATAAGTCCCTTTTTTTCTTTTATCTATATAAAAAAAATTAATTTTTTTTCAACACGTCTTTTAATTTTTCTTCACTTTGTATAAGTGCTCTTTTTTGTTTTTTCCTCTACTATGTATCAGAGTGTTCATCACCATCATAGCTTATATCATCTTCGCTCCTCCTATGTACTCCACTCTCTCGCTCTTGACCAAACAGACCTTTGGATATCTCAAATTTAAAATTTTACATCCAAGGGTATATATAGTCCTGAACTTTGTAAATGGACAAAAATGTCTTCAATTAGTCGATAGTAACGAGGTAAGTCAAAAGGCTAAAATTGGAAATACAGTCAATAGGGATAATTGGCAAACAATATAATAAATATGTTAAAATAATAATCCACGTCGTCTATGTTTGGCCAACCCTAGAGAAAGATACCGTACCTGCTTTGATCCATTGGCGGCGCGAAGAAACAACGTCAAAAGAAATGGCTACTCTAGAAGACGATGAAGTTGATATAGATCCCTTTAAAATTATCTTGCCTGATGAAGAAGGTGAAGAGAAGAAGCTTACTACGCTATTTGACGGTGCAGCGAAGCCACAATTGCAGAAACATTACATCCGCTCCATCAAGTCAATGGTTGTGATTAGACAGCTTCCTTCCGAAGGGCTTTCTTTCCAGCTCTGGCCAGCTGCTACAGCTCTCGTTAAGCTTCTTGATGACTATCTCAGTCACCTTAGCGAAAGCCCCCTCGCAACCACACTAACGGCCTTATCTAACGGTAGTGAAAATGGTCGGAAACTAAAAATCCTGGAGCTTGGTTCTGGTACTGGCCTTGTCGGAATCGCGGCGGCCGTCACTATAGGAGCTAATGTGACGATGACAGACTTGCCGCACGTCATCCCCAACCTCAAATTCAACGCAGACGCGAATGCTGACGTGGTAGCTCGAAGAGGTGGGACCGTCGACGTGACGCCGCTGAGGTGGGGAGAGGCTAATGACATGGAGGTAATTGGGCGGGAATTCGATCTTGTCTTGGCTTCTGATGTGGTTTATCACGATCATCTGTTCGAGCCATTGATCCAAACGCTGCGTTTTCTGTTGAATGGAGGGGCAAGAGGGGGTGAAAAGAAAGTTTTCGTTATGGCTCACTTGAGAAGGTGGAAAAAGGACTCTACGTTTTTCAAGAAAGCGAAGAAACTGTTCGACGTTGAGGTTTTACACACAGATCCTCCGAAGGAGGGGTCTCGAATTGGAGTTGTTGTTTATGCTTTTGTTGGGAAAATCTAATGTGTCACTATCAAAGATAAGCGTTTTTATACCAGTACAACAATAGTTTTACAATAAAAGTTTTTGAACAATACAGTAACAAAATAAAACAGGAAAGAGTTCCGAGAACTCCATCATCACACATGCTCAAACTAGTTTAAGTGATTGATGTTTCTGAAATCAAATAATTGCCGTACTCCCGTTCCCGTGCTGCCACTGAAGCACTGCTTTCAACTTCAGAGCTTCATAGCCGGAGTCGAATTATGTGAAAAGTACAGTACTCCTGAGGTAAGGCTCTTATAAACAAAAATGCCTGCAAAACTGATTCTGAGCTTTTGAATTTTGATTCTGGCATTTGAGTAGCATCCTGACATGACTAACGGTTATCCACCCTACTTATGCATGTGCTTCCACATCATCGCTTCCTTGGTAGTGAGCCTCTGGTTACTGCTTTCATATTTTGTGAATCTCTAAAGCAAACAAAGTGAACCAATGTTTTCCCATTTGGGTAGACAGCGAATACACTTGTTCCAATTTTCTTGTTGCAGAGAGAGCACATACTATCACTCGAGATTTTCACCACCCCTTTTCTCTGGTTGTAGAGTTCATCTTTCACCTGTCGCATATGATTAGAGAGTTGAGACAGAAGCTTGAACGAAAGAAAACCAAGAAACAAAGTAGGCTTAAGGGGGCTACCATGTTCAGGAAGATATTATATACACATCATATAGATACATAAGCTGCCAGGAAGATCTTATATGATAAGTCATTTATGCGCAGATTTTTTTTTGTTAAGTAACACCATACCTGTAGGTTCTCACTCTGCCTCAACCTCTGGATGACAGAGAAGTTCCTGTATGCTTCACTGGATTTTTTCAGAAGAGGTTCCAGAAATGGAAGCAAGTTCTGCAGGTGGAAGACAAAAATACCTTAAAGAAATAACCTACCACTGATACTCAGATGCCTAAAAGGAATCTAGCAACGTATCTTTGAGGGGCCAACCATATTCATGAAGAACTTATAACCACAGACTCAGATGCAACTGTTTCATGAGATTTTGTAAGCATTCAGTTGTTACAAAATACCTGTAGTTTAGTCTCCCTTGGCAAGAGTTTAAGTGCCTGAGCTCCATTGATTCTGTCCCACCTTCGACTCAAAAGATCAAGTACCTGATCAAACATGATAGTGGAATTTCCTTCCTCACTAGATTCTTCATTATCACCATCACTCCTACCACTATCAGTGTGGCTCGAACTAATACGCATATCCTCTGCAGCTTCTATTGAGGCAATTTTCCTACGTCCTCCTTTAGATCTCACTAAAGCTGCTGAACCAACTTTTTGAACACTTGTATTTGGGGATAATGCCAAATTTGCAATTCTCCTTTCAAAGTTCTTGGTTGCTTTTTGAGGATTCAGATAAATCTGTAAAAGAGTGAGGTATATATTGCCAGAAGATTTTCCCGGTGGTTGATGAACCACAGACTCGTAAACCCGATCACAATAGGCCAGTGCCATTTCAGGTACATGAAGCTATAAAGGTCAAGAGGAATTCATTATTAGAAGCATATTTAAAATGAGAAACATCAGATTTTACTTTGAAAAGAAAAGGAGGGGTGAAAAGGTATGAATGGACTAATATATATGCAACTCTTCTAAAAAATTGTGTTATAGTGGCCTTGGCCCTTGGCATAACAAAAGGTTCAGCATTTTTTAGGTTTATGAACCATGGCAGAAACTACCTTATGAACGTATAGTAATAGAGCAAGCTCGTGTTGGTTCATTTTTCCCAACAAAATTGCACGCTCTTCAAATAGAGCATCTGGAGGAAGACGTCTCAACAGAGCCTCTGGATTGTATCCTGTGATGCATTTCAATGCAGACAATAATTTCTTCCTCGTTGGAGAATAAGCCTTCTCATCCCATATCTGTTGAGCACTTAGTTCTGAATACCATTCAAGTACTTCTAAGAGATAGATTTGTACCTACAAAAGTCATTGCTAGTTATATGAGCTGCACTATAACCAACATCAACAGAAGTGGAAACTATGAGAGCTTTAGTGGCTTCAAATGATAAGTTATTTTAATTAAAGCAAAAGGTCTTTACCATTTCATTCTGCAGGTTCTCTGAGATCCCATTTTCATTCATTGCAAGAATAAGTTCCAAATACCTACCCTGCATGCTTGGAACATGCTGCTTCAAATAAGAATTGACCATGTCTGCGGGAATATTTCCAGACAAAAACATCTCAATGGTTTGGGTTGGACAGCTTTCAAGAGTAGGCATTGAGAACTCGAGCACAAGCATTGGATCGGTGCCACAAAGAGGCTGCAAATAAAACCAGCCAAAGTTTTCATCATATAAAAGTTCTATCATAGAATGACCTTGAGCCGAGGACAAAAAGATTGCATCAAATAAAAGCAGTAAAAATGCTGAATGCCAAGAAAACATGGTCCATAGGGTCAGGCCATAACAAATTATGACTTCTTATATTATTCTGGGTAAACTTCATATAGTTTCCTTCATAAAGAAGGAAGATTTATCTTCCATGTTCCACACGGCATAGATTGCTCCAAAATCCCAATGCTCCCATAACATAAACGTATTTAGTATCGATAAATCAAGTTAAAATACTTTAATGCAATAAGAGCAGAAATGTTTCCTGCTACTGCAAACTGACCTTGATATATTCAATAATTGCCTCGGGACTGAACTTTTTGATGAGCCCAGCCTGCGATTGGTTTGTTTTTTACTCTTCCACTAATTGTTGTAGTAGTTTAAGAGCTTCACGGTGCATTGAGTTACTTTTGTAAAGTTCTAGCAGAGCAGCATAATGATTCCCTTTTTGAAGAAGGTCCTCGCATATTTTTACATCACAATAGTTAAGACCTTTCAGCAAATCTAAAGCTGCTGCTGATTGTCCAGTAAGAAGAAGAGCTTGGAGGAGGGCTGTATCCAGTATAGCTGCCATCTCCCTAGCAGCTGAGTTAATTGAAATGTTACCACGCCCCTAAGGGACCAAACATAGTATTAGATCACGGAAGAAGAATACTTCTATAAATTTTTAAGATATGAAGAGAAATGGGATATTAACAGCATATTGGGATTGAATATATGCACAATTAAGTTGGTTTGTGTCTGTAAAATTGTGTTTCAGCAAAAAGTTGAACTCTAATGTACACATAGGATCATAAAATATGCTCCGCTATAACACGCATTGATGAAAAGTGAAATTAACCTCACCTTATTTGACTTCTTAAACCTAGTTGAAGTAAAATTATCCCCAACAGCATCTAAAACTACCTCTTCTGTTCCATCAGCAGCAGCTTTCTCTACAATACTGGATCTCTTCTTTTGTAGGTACTTAATAAGAGCCATGAGAGTATTGTGGCTCATTTTCTTGAACTCAAGTGCTGCATTCTCATCAGATTCTGAGGGTTGTGTAAGCGAGGTTTCCAGATCATCTGACAGGCAAGATGAATCTCTTGAAAGTTGTGAAGCATCCAGATAGACATCCAACAACTTCTCTGGCTCGGGAATTGTAGTTGTTTTTGGAAGAACAATGGATGGATACAAAGAAAGCACATAAGTAGTATCTACTTGAGATGCCAAAAAGTGCTCCATTGCCTCCTCATAGCATCCATTGTCAAAAAGATAATGAGCGTATCTGCAACAACATGATAATACAGTTTAACCATACTGTATAATGCCAGGAACAAACAATAGGCCTGAATAACCTGAAGAAATTTATGATTAATATACTAAGAAAAAAAGACAGGCTTCAAGTAAGAAATAGATGTTCCATATTCCATTATGGAAAGGACCTTGAGAAAATAGAGTAGGCTATGTCAAAAAGTGTTCTAGAAGGGGTATACAGATGCAGTAGCATCTTAAACATGCGATAAGCACGTCAATAATTATTATGAAACATAATACAGGCCACTTGACTTGATATAGTTGCACAAAGTAATAACTGTTAAGAGGGAAAATCCACCTTATATGAATAGACCCCTCCTTTGCAGCTCTAAGGCTTGCATCTTCAGGCGGAAGCATTTTACACAAGGCCAATGCTTCCTCAAAATCTCCAGATGCTGTAATTGAACAATCTGCAATGCAAGTACGAATCTTTTGATGCAATGTTCAAAGCACTTCTTTAGTGTTAGCATTTGCATGTCATAGTCAACAAAAATTTTAAAAAGGTTTCTGAGGCAAAATATGATGTTAAAGCATAACAATGGGATGGATCAAGTTTCATATGATAGTGTTGAACTTCCTAAGAATATAGAAGTACCTGTGCACCAATAAGAACAGGGAAGAGCCCATAAACTGAGTTATTTGATGCTACAACTATGGCATTGTTACTTTTTATAAGATGACGAGTATTATGGAGGATAATAGTCTGTATCAAAGGATATGGATCTCGAAGGGAGCGAATCTGCAAAGAATAAATGAATGAAAGTGCACAAACTTTAAGATAGGTAAAATCCAATCTTCTTTGGATTTAGTCACACTACCTCAACACGCCTCGGAAACATAGCTATTGCATATGGCTTCTGGATGACAACAGCAGTAGGAGCTTCTGACCAGCATATCCTACCAGCTTTAAGAAGCTTCCCATTTTGATCCACGAAGACACCAATATTTTCCTAAGAACGGCACATCACATTACTCTTAACAACCAAACTCAAATGCCACCAATAAATTATTAAAGTCGTACCCTCCCAAGAATAAGTTCCCCGGATGGAAGAGTGACAACCAAAGGAGGTGCTATCTTCCCCGAAGAAAACACCTCAGACAATGCACCATTTGTGGCATTAAATATCATGTATTCCTTTCTAATACCTAGACATATGTTCTCACCACACCATGATATTGACTTCACTGTATCTGGAACACCAAAATCCTTCACCTCCACAAGCCCACGACCTCCTACACATTAATTTTCAAACCAATTTCATTCAAGAGTTAGCAGGCAACAAAATTCCACAAATCTAAATCCAACTATCAAATCCAAATCACAA